AGTCTGTAAGGCTTGCAAAAAGCTAGTAACCGCTCCTTCCATGATTCTTTCCATCAATTCAGTGCCACTGACTAATGACTCGCTTCCGTTACCATTATTGGCCATTCTACAAAGTAATAAACGAGGCATTACATCTATAACGCAGCATATATATAAGCATATATAGCGCAATATATATATATATAATATTATTTTTAATATTTTTATAATTAATATTACATCCTTGTTCAAAACTCAAAATATTTTAGTGTCTCATCCTTGTGGTACAAAAAAAAAAAAAAAGTATTAGAACACATCATGGTTAGCGTACAAAAAAAGGTTTTCTTCTACCAAATCTAGAGCGGTGGGTCAAACAGGTCAAATAACCACGAGAAGTAGTGTTGCATAAAAAGCTCAAATTCCCATCCTAACTGGACCACACCAAAACACATCCGCGCTGCCTAGACTGTGAAAATAGGGATGGATTGTATGTATCCCAAAAATGCTCAATCAACAATCTAGCCGAGTGCCTCGATATATGACAAGTCATAACTAAAGTCAACATTTTGAATATTAATAATCTCTAGCGAGTTAGGGACATTGGTAAAAATATAGTTCTCGGGGTACACATTTTCCATTTTTGCCACAAAATCTAGGGGCAAAGGGCCAACGATGTAGTGCGGGCGGTTATAGCCTAGGGCAAGGCCGAGGACACAGGTGGGTCCGAGAAATCGTCCGCGCATATAGGCATGGCTCTGCCTCCACAGTAAGTATGGTACATTAGTAGGATCAATCTGTATATAGATTGGCTGACCCATTAATTGGGCAAGGCCGGGATGTAGTCTCCTAACTATATCCTCTGAGTCTCCCTATCCTTCCAGTGAGGCGGGGACAGGGTGTTCTGCTAAAATATCATCCAAATTGATAGCCCCAAGCTCCTCCCAAAATGCCTCATCAAGGTTAATCTCGGGCATTCCTATATCACCGAATAAACGTAAGATTTTACAGAAAAGGACTAATGTCTCAGGTAAATATTTATCTTTTTAAAACCATTGCTTGGATACCACCTCTGTCACGACCCAACCCCAGGGGCTTAGGGCTGGAATCACAACTTACTAATTAATTCTAATCTTAATAAATTAAATGGCGCATGCGGAGGCAAAATGGAAATAAGAAAATAATTAAATGCAAAAATTAATTCCATTTTATTATTTTGATAAAAGAAAATACATCTATAGGGCTTTTATTTATTTTCTTTTTATTATGCAGTGACCAGCCCTCAGTAAAAATAAAAATAAAAAAAGGAAGAAAAGGAAGAAAAAAAAAAAATAGATCAGCATTAATCCTTGTCTAGGTTCCACTACATGAGGTTACGGGTCTTCCTTAGATCTCATCACCTGAAAGGGTAACATCTATAAGCACACAGTAGAGTGAAAAATATTATGCCGAGAGTATTGGGTATACAAATAACCATGAGTAGTTAGTTACGCTAAAATATTTACATAACTCATTTTGAATAAACAAATTATTCAAAGTGACAGAAACTGGAATACTGAAATTATATAAATAAATAACCATAACCACGGTACATAACAGAACAGAACAGAGGTCACGGGAGTGACAGTTAGAACAGAGATCAATGAATCCATGACAAACAGAAGACCACAAAGTGGCCAAACAGAAACTAATGGTTATTTAAGTCCCCCAAAGCGTGGGACTCCCGTGGTGGTACTTATAAAACATAATTGTTTATAAGGTCATAGTCAAATATTTTCTAAAATTTAAACAAATACATCCATGGCTTCATTTTAAACAAATAGAGTTTAGAAATTAATCCACATAATTGAAATATTATTATAATTTATAGAACATAACTTGTATAAAATAAATTATGGTAAGTCAAAATATACGTAAAATATATTATGGTGACTCAAGGTATAATATAACCCACCTTAATATTGACTCTTACTATTTCTCTCATATTTTTTTTGTATTCTCTTGCTTCTATCTCTCTATCTCTTTTCTTCTTTTTTTTTTCCGTTCGATCTCTTACTATTTTCACAGCCCCCTCCCCCCTTTATATACACGTTTCATAGTGCTGACTCACCCCATCATGATGACCCCATGGTTTGATGACTCACCTCCCCTATTTGCTTAGATGGCACAGATGGCTCAATTCTATCTCTCCAAGACAATTGCCAAATCTTCTCTCATTAATGGTTGATTTACTTAATCCCCATGGAAATCTCCTACATCATATATTTGATAAAGACAAATTAATTTACGTATAGCTTATTATTATTATTATTATTTTATTTTTGCCTTAATTTTACATTGACTTTAATTAATAAATTAAATTCTACTTTATAGCATACCATCATAATATTAATTATTTTGTTTTACTATTACATATTATTATTATTCTTATTAATGATTATGGTTGGTTGTGTATTAATTAAATATATAGGGTGTTACAATCCCATCACCCACAACTTGGGCATCAACTGTAACTTGGCACTGCTCATTACCATCACCCTTAATGGGGAAGTTGCCATGGTCTCCCTTCATGACTTGGACCTAGCCAACTAGTTCGTCCTCAATGCCTAAAAGCATCAGCCTATAAGTCTTTGGCCGAGGAATCAGTGAGGCAATAAGGTTCTCATAATCCTCGCAATTTGAAGAAGCCTATTACAAAGCTCCTCATAGTGAAAGGAAAGATTATCCACATTCAGACCAACAAAAAGGTCTTGAGACACAAGATAAGAGGATAACTTAGGGAAGCAAGTAAGGTACAAATCAACAACTTGTTCAGAAGTTGCAGAGGGAAAATGATTGTCGCAGCAACTGCAGTCGCCACAACTAACTTGCGGAGGGAACACCTTGCCAAGGTGATAGCAACCTTTGGGAGAAGCTTTCCCTCCACAAGTAGAGCCTAATGCTTGACGCTGATAGTAGGCCCCCAAAGTCATTTTTAGCTCGGCATTGATAGCAAACCCTGATGCTCACTAGCTTGGTATTGATAGCAGGCCCCAAGGCTTATTGGTTGGAGCAGATAGCAGGCCCAGAGATACCAGTATACCGCACAGAAGTTACAGAGGCAATGGGATTAGAAGTTTCAACGATAGCAGTGGCAACCTCTAAGTTTATAGCCAACTCCGCTAGGCGAGCCAAGCCTAGATGGGCAATACTAAACTCAGTCATGATGTTTTCAACTTCTGTAGTAATTTGGGTTTCAACAACCTCAGCATGTGGAACTAGTGGAGACTGGGTAGGAGAAGAACCCTATAAGCAACCTCTACATTGAGCGGTTCTAGCCAAAGAGATATGTTCACCCTATGATCAGCTCTAGAGGTCTCAAGGACGAAGTCTCCACCATCACCTTCTATTACCTCTGCATCTTCATTAGGGAAGCTCCTTATGACCACTATTATTACCCTTTTCAATGCTAGAAGTTATTATGCTTTGAGTTTTGGACAAATAAAACAGCAAGCCAATGGGTACATCATCACCATCATCAAAGTCTGAAGAAAGCCCCACAATACTAGATGGGCCACCTGAGCCTAAAGGAGTAATAGCAGAAACATTGTTCCTCTCTGAGATAAACAGACCCTAGAAAAAGAAAAACACACTTATGCAACCAAAGTTGAATGAATACTAAGTGAAGACACATTACTACTGAGGTTTAATTGTAGCCTAACATTATGCACACATAGAAAAACACATGTTCTCCACGCGCGTAAGGGGTAAATGTAAAGGGTCAGAAATTAAAGTCCAAATTAAGTATGGACCTAAGTGCGGAAGCCGCCCCTGTTAGGTGACTAGGAATGATTAAAGGAGCATGGGCCAAAGCCAAAGAAAAGTGGGTTAGTAATGAGCTAGAGCAGGTCTGACCCGCCAAAGGTCCGAGCAAACTTCCTGAAGAAAAATGTCTAAATCAAGTTGCGGAAGCAACACTTGTAGCGGTTAAGTTGTGGAGGTACTTTGCCTCAGCGCCGCCATTCCAAGTATTGTCGGTACAACCGCCATTCCTAGTATTGTCGATTCCGCCGCCATCTGAAGTTGCTGAGGGAAAGAGAAAATCAAAGCAACTAAGTTACGGAGGCAACACTTGCAGCAGTCAAGTTGCGGAGGTATTTTGTCTCAGCGCCGCCATTCCAAGTATTGTCGAAACAGTCGCCATTCCTAGTTTTGTCAATTTCGTCACCATCTGAAGTTGCTGAGAGAGAAAACTCAAGCAACTAAGTTATAGAGGCAACACTTGCAGCGGTCAAGTTGCGGAGGTACTTTGTCTCTGCGCCGCCATTCCAAGTATTGTTGGTACAGTCGTCATTCCTAGTATTGTTGGTTCCACAGCCATCTGAAGTTGCTGAAAGAAAAAGAAAACTGAAGCAACTAATTTGCAGAGGCAACACTTGTAGCGACCAAGTTGCGAAGGCATTTTGTTAGCGTTACCATCTCTAATATTGTCGGTTCTGTCATCTGAACTTGCCACGGGAAATGACAGCCGCAACAACTACAACCGCAGCAATTAACTTGTGGAGGGAACACCCCGCCAAGGTGATAACAGCCTTTGAGAAAAGCTTTCCCTCTACAAATAGAGGCTAATGCTTGGCGCTAATAGCAGGCCCTAAAGTTATTTTTAGCTCGACGCTGATAGCAGGCCCTGAAGCTCACTATCTTGGTGCTGCTAGCAGGCCCCAAGGCTTACTGGTTAGAGCTGATAACAGGCCTAGAAATACCAGTATATCGTGGCAACCCCGCGAAGATGAGAGCAGGGCAGCCCGAGCGCAAGGGACTCCCTTTCCATTTACCCAAGTCATAGACCTACCTCAGTTGCATAGGCAGAACTAAGGAAGCCCCCTTGGGCTTGGTACTTAGGCACAACATGGCTGATAGCAAGCTTGGCTGTGGCCTTAGCCTTGGAAAGCTGGGGAGTTTGTGGTTAGGTGGCTAAGGGTGAAGGCTTCACTGAGGTGAACACGAACATAGTTGATAGCAGGCTGATGGTGTCCTGAGAATGTATGTATTGGCTAAATAGAACTGAGAAGGCAAGTGCAGCGGCAAGGTTTATCGCTGCAAGTGCACTTGATGAAGTTCGGGCTGAGAAGGTAAGCGTAGCGGCAAAAACTCTCGCCTCAATTGCACTTACTGAGGCTCAAAAAGGAGTTGCAGCGCCAAACACTCCCGTTACAACCACACTTGCTGAGGCTCAAAAAGGTAGTTGCGGAGGCAAACAAATAGTACACAGTACATGCAGAGAGACACATGGCACCTTCAGCCTGGTGGCTCAAGCAGAATATTCTATGTGATCCTTAGGGACACCTGTCTTCTCTCTATTTGGCCACTTGGTGTCCTCTTGATACCAAGGAAAAGCCTATAAATAGGACCCATTTCCCAAGGTCCAAGGAGAGGAATTTTGGAGATTTGGGAGAGATACTGTCCATTTGTGCACTGCCATATATTTCTTCTTGAGTTACTTGCTTCACTCTCACTCAGCTACTCACTCTCCAACCTCCCAGACAGTTGCTGCTGCTCATTCTCCAGTCATTCCACCATTGTTAGACCATTAACATAGTTTTTCCTTTCTAGTCACCTTCCTAACCTCGAATCCCCCTACAGTTTTAAAGCTTTAATCTGATTATCAACATAGATCTGATATGTTTTCCTTTTGGACTTTAAGTAGATGGTAGATTGCATGATGTAGCACAAGAGACTATCCATGTACAAGAAATGGAAAACTTGAGACTATCAAAGCCAAATTGGATGGCAACAGATGACCTTGAAGAATAGAATATAAATATGTTTGTAATTTTATTTTGATGTTTTAATTTTTTAAATAGGCTCGGCTTGTACTAGCCAGTAAGATATGGATTCATGGATGGGATTTGGTTTTAATTTTTTTAAATAGCTCAATCCGTATCAATCCATTGATTAGTCAAAATTCAAAAAATCCATTAATATATGGGATTTTGACACAATAATTGTAGGCTGGATAAGCTTGGTATATCCCATTAACAACCCCTAATTAGAGACTCACACATTTGATTTACAAATTCACTCACAATAATATTGTAAGAAAATTGACCCCACAATCACTAGGAGTTTAACAAATTATCACTAGAATTGTGGAAGTGTTTTTTGGGTGTCAAGCATTTTCGGTTGAAAAAATGTTTGAGAGCTTTAAACTAAGAGGTCTAATAGATGAGGTCCACCTATTAATGTGATATTTTAACCTTTTTTTTTTTCATTACCACATAAATAAGACTCAATTTAAAACTTTATTTTTAGAACTCTCTATCACCACTATTTTGATTGCTATCTATTTGGGAAAAATGCCTCGTCCATGCACACAATCCCTGAATCCCCCAAATGACATGGCAGTGAGGGTCTCTCTCTTCAAGGAAAATGGTTGAAATCACTAATTAGAGGTAGTACTAATGATGTGACAGTGGGCCCCACTCACTGCCACAGTGTTGCTGTGTCTTGTTTTTTTGTTTTTTGTTTTAGATTAATGCTTGAGAGCACTAGGGGAGCACTAATGAGGTGACTCTCCCTTTGATGTGATGGTTGTCTCTTGTGTTTTTCTTTTTTCTTTTGTTTTTACATTTTTCAACTCATTAGAGCTATTAGTGATGAGATTTTTTAGTGGTCTCTATCATTGTTGTTTTGTTTTACAACAATGATTCATCCCACTAATTTGGGAGCACTAATGGACCACTAATGAGGTAGAAATTCAAAAAAAAAAAAAAAACACAAGAGCAAAACATCCCATCATGTAGGACCCACACCACTTTAGAGCTATTAGTGCTCATCTTTTTAGCTGTCTCACTCATTTTTGTTTGTTTTAAGTATATGCCAACTCACTAGTGATGCTTTAGAGCATAACTTTTAGTGGTATATATCATTGCCCTCTCTTCAAACTCTCATCTCTCTCCCCAAACCAAATCACACTCTTTTTCTTTCCCCTCTTTCTCTGGTAGTGACTCTCAGGTAAACTATCTCTCTACCCCCGACTCATAGCTCGTATTCTTGCATAAACCCCACAGAAATTTACACTATGTTTGGGAACTTATGAGAGAAAAGAAAAGAAATGATTACTTAAGTTATAAAAGAAAAGAAAAGAAAAGAAATGATTGTGATTTCTCTCATTTTTGTTTGGATAAGAAAGAAATAAAAGAAAATAAATGATTGTGATTTCTCTCATTCTTGTTTGGTTAGATTTCATTAAGAGAAAAGAAAAGAAATTATTTTATGTTATATTATCAAAATAACCTTTTTATATTTTCAATCATTTCATTTCTTTTATTTTTATAGGAACAAAATTGGTATTATGAAAATAATGGTTTCTTTTCTCTCCCAATCTCTCCACTTTTGGGAAGATTGAAAATGAGACTTATAAGAAAAATGAGTTTATCTCAATTTCTCTCAATTTCTTCCCATTTCTCTCCACTTAGATTATCCAAACAATTAAAAGAAATACATATTCCTCTATTTCTTTTCTTTTCTCTCCAAATCACTCAATCCAAACATAGCGTTAAAGTACACCAAAGAGATTTAAAGCGCAAAATAAAAGACTCGGTTTAAAGTTCAAAAGGAATCAACTTTTTAAAAGCAAACACAAAAATCGAGCCAGAACAGAAACAGATACAAGACCCAAAAGAACTAGCAGAAAACAGATCCAAAAACCAGAAAAAAAGAGAGCAGAAAATCAATCCCTCCTCCTAAGGTAATTCTTTAGTTTCTTCATCTCTTCGATGTTGTGGAGGAATTCATTGACAGTAAAAAATACTCCCTCAGAACTACTTTTCACCCATAAAGCTGCCCTTTTTTAACGTTATCACCCACCACTTCCCATCCCATTTAACTTCAATATTTGTAAATTAGCATATTGTTTCTGCATAAACCATATTGTCTTCCACAAAAAAGCACAAAAATAGGGAATCCCATATTCTCAAATCTAGGAAAACCTGAAACTAGTCATCCAGCCGTCAAAAAAGTAAAAATTACCTGGACTCACCCATGAGATTCCGCACCACCATCTCACTGTTTCAGTCCACACCTTTCATATAAATCTGCATCTTAAAAAGATATGATTGATAAATTCGATTTCCGATTTGCAAAAAAATTCAGGAAGAATCGGAATCTGCAACAAATCTTTAGTAGTTATTGTGCCTTGTAAATCTTGCCATCCAAATCAAACATTCGAATTTTTGGTGGTATTTTTTTCCTCCATACATATGATTCTAACAAAATCCTTTTCAAAACCCAAAATTTTTTCAAAACAGCTACATACTTTAGTTTACTGAAAACTGGCTTCCCTCCCTTATCACCCTTTGGTCTTCCTTATGTTTTCCATCCAAACAAATGGAGCGTAAATTTCACGTCCCATTTCAGATCCACAGACCCATACAGAAGGGCAACCATTTGCAGGTAATTTTTAAGAAACCCATTGTTATTGTTAATGATGTTCGTCCTAGTGAATGGATCCGGCAGGTCCAAGCTCCTCAAGCCCGCGGCCAAATGATCAAGCCCACTGGATAACCTGCAGGCAAGTTCAACGGGGAACGGGGTAGTCCCCCAGTGAACTCTCCGACGAGCAAGTTAGGAAGAGAAGTAATGTGTAGAGGGAGAGGTTAGGGATAGAAAAGCTTAACCTTTTTCTTGTCTACAACATTCGCTTATATCCTTTGGTAATCATTTCGCTGTCCCTTCTGACCTGCTCACCTTGCCAAAAGCCTATGCTGTAGCTTACCTTGCTCAGGGTAAGGGGGTCCTGTTCCGACGGAGAGGTGTTGTCGTAATAAATGCTGTGATGGGCTACATTAATGGTGATGTGCAGTGGCAATAACTTTGCAGATCTTTGTCTGCTGATGTGGTTCGTCCTTCTCTTGCCGTGTGTCTGAATGTCATTGGCTCTTTATGCCATGTTGGACTCCAGTTGTCCCGGACCTCGTCAGCTGGGTTATGCACTGGGCTTCAAGTGATGGGCCATAGGTGATCCATGGCCTTTATGGGCTTATACATGTCAGTAGTCCCCCATTCCCGAGTGTAGCTTCAGTCCAACGAAGGAAATATTAGTGACATAGATGAGTGTGTTAGGGATTGGCAGAAGGGGTGATCGAGGGGGGGCCGACCGCGGTGGTTGGCCGAGCGGGAGGGCCGACCACAAGGAGGGCCGACCGCGGTGTTGGCCGAGTGGGAGGGCTGACCACGAGGAGGGGTGACCGCGGTGTTGGCCGACTGGGAGGGCCGACCGCGAGGAGGGCCGACTGTGGCGTTTGGTCGAGCGGGAGGGCTGACCACGAGGAGGGCCGACCGCGGGGTTTGGCCGAGTGGGGGGGGTGACCACGAGGAGGGCCGACCACGGTGTTGGCCGACTGGGAAGGCCGACCGCGGCGTTTGGCCGAGCGGGAGGGCTGACCGCCGGAAGGGCCGACTGCGGTGTTTGACTGAGCGAGAGGTTTGACCGAGCGGGAGGGTCGACCGCGAGGAGGGCCGACCGTGAAGGGTGAGGTGAAGGGGCATGGGGCTCGAGACGCGGCGGGGCACGTGGTAAGTTGAAGTGGAAAAGACAGGGTAAGGGGAGGGGACGGTGGATCGTGGACGTGCACGTGGCAACATCTCGTCGGGGGGAGGTGAGGCGGTGGATCAGAAATGAAACGGTAAGTCATTATGGGTGTTGAGGAGACAATTTTGGCAGATGATTTTGAAAAGTTTTCAAACTGGCGGAAATTAATTGGGATCCTTGGAATACGGGCAAATCGTGGGCTTTTGGCATTATTCGATTCACCTACCTGTTTAGAAAAAATCAAAATATTCCAAGGGTGGATTCCTTCGTTGCTCACAATACACCTCTGCAACACTTTTTCGATTTCCTTGTTCCAGCCGCCGAAGCGATTCGCAAACAAACCACAGAAATGGCCCAAGAAGGGAATGCGATTGTCAGGGTGGACCCGCTTGGAGAGGATGATGCTGTGGAGCTAACGGCGCAGTATAGGACAGGGAGGGTGGGGGAGTCGATGGTACGATCCCACGGTTCCACCACGATAGCAGCTTCAAAGCCAATCAGCCAGGCGGAACCAGATCATTGGCACACGAAGGCTGACAAATCCACGATTACTGAGGCGGAGTTGGAGGCTATCCGCGAAAAATACCAGATCCCTGGGGAAGTGGAGTTATTGTTACCGACATCAACGGAAAGGCTGTCTGATGCCAGGCCAGGAGAGTTTTCCCTTTATGAGGAAGCTCTGAAGGGTGAACTGAGGTTGCCACTGCCGCAAGTGGTGGTGGATGTGCTTAACCGTCTGGAGGTAGCACCGGGGCAACTAATGCCCAACGCATGGAAGATCCTGCTGGCCTGTGCAAGTGCGTGGCCGAAGGCAAATGGAGGGGAGGCCATGACGGTAGACGAATTCTTTGCGTGTTATAAGGCTTCGGGGCAACAGGAGACGTGGGTCACTCTGCAGGCAGCAGTGGGGAAGGGGTTGGTGGCGGGTCTGCCGTCGTCGATCAAGGGGTGGCGACCGCGATGGTTCTAGGTGTCTGCCAATGGGGGGCTTGGAGCGCGCACCGTTTGGAAAGTACCCATCAGGTCTGTGGAGCTGAAACTGGGGGCAGCTGCGGAGGGGAGGGTGAAGAAGTGAAGGGAGAGAGAAAAGGCAAAATGGGACGAGCTCGTTCAACCGTCGGCATTGTTTGAGACGGGGTTGGGACCAAAGCCAAGTAGTGGGGACCTCGACCGAGCGGAGTTGGAGGCAAGGAAAAGGGTTCAGGAGGCGGAGGATCAGGCCATTCTTGCTAAAGCCCAACAATTCAAAGAGTCCTAGGCCGACCGACCACCAAAACCGGTTGCGAGGGAGAGGATTCGACCTCGCCCCAAACCCTTGGGAGAGAAAAACTTGGGTGATTTTGTGCCGCGGCCGCCCCCAATAGACCCTTTGAAGGAGAGGTCCTTGAAGGAGATAGAGGCATTGGGCGTGGGGAAGAAGAAGAAGAAAGTGAGTCGGAGTGAGGAAGTGTCTGCCCAGAAAAGGAGGAGGGAGACGAGTGTGAAGGAAACCAGTGCGGCCGAGGGGGCTGAAGGGGGAGAAGTGGAGGGTGTCCCAGGAAAGATAGGTGGCCCAGAAGTGGTGGATGTTGCCCCAGAGGGCATGGAGGTGGTGCCAGTGGTGGCGGCGATCACCGCCGGGGTCGCAAAGGCTGCCCCCGAAAGGCAAGTGGAGGACGAGGCTGCTGGCCCTAGGCCAAGGAGGGGGGAACAGCCCCAAGGGGGGCTTGCACCTCAAGAAGGAGGAATCAGTACGACCACAGCAATCTACCATGCTCGTGCGGTGGCGGGGCGGCTGGAGGGAGAAGAAGGCCCAGCCAGGGCAGGGGCAGACCGTCTTGTAAGGATTGTAGAAGAGGCAGCCCTATGCTCGGCCTCCAGATTCAACGAGGCTGAACTGTTAAGGGGGTTATACTCCGCTCAAATAGAGGTAACCACCTTAGCAGGGGCCCTGCTGAGGAAGGCGAGGGCTGCCAAACTCAAGGCAGATGAGGCCAAGGCTCAGCTAGCAAAGTTAAAGAAGAAGAGTGTAAGTTGGGAGAGTGCCCACACTGAGCTGCCAGCGGTTAAGGCGGAGCTGGAGAACACACGCCGCTAGGTTGTGTCGCTCAAGTTCCAACTTGCTGGCGAGTAGAAGAAGTTGGACGAGGCCCAAAGAGCCTGCGCCGTCGCGGTCGAGCGACATGAAGAGGCTATGAGTAGTAATGAAGAGCTGGTGAGGCAAAAAGATGAGGTTAATGGCAAAGTGGGCGATCTTCAGAGGGAACTGGAGGGCGAGCGCGCCAAGGCGGTGGAGGAGAAATGGAGGCTTCAGAGGGAGTTAGAAGCAGAGAGAGTGCAGGCGACGGCGGAGAAGGAGAGCCTGAAGAAGGAACTGGAGGCGGAGAAGGCAAAGGCGGCATCGAAAAGGGCGGCCCTACAGAAAGAGCTGGACGAAGAGAGGGCAAAGGCAGCCTCTGAAAGGGCGGCTTATCCCGATCTGTGCGTCGCAGCAGTGGAGCAATTCAAAGGGTCTGCCGAATTTCAGACGGCGGTTGATGCCGCGGTCGCGAGTAGCCTGGCTAGGCAAGAATCTGGGGGGGCTGGCCCATCGAGGACGACCGCTAGAGGCAGAACTGAAGCAGAAGTTATTGAGAGCTTCCAGCAGTCAGACTTTTATAAGCACAAAATGGTTGAGTACTGGGATAGTGGCTGGAAGATGTTCAAACGTAGAGCTGAAGAGCTGTTCCCAGACTTAGACCTTAGTAGTGTAACGATTGGCGAAGACGATGTGGCCCAGACCCCCCTGGATGAGGGCATTGAAGAAGAAGACCTCTCCAGTGAGGAGGAGTAACTGGGGAGGAAGGAGAAAAAGATACATTGTTGTTTTTTTTTTTTTTTTGAATTGCTGTAATGAACTTTTGTAATGAATTGCTGTAATGAACTTTTGTACAAAGTTGTGAATGAATCAAATTTCAGTTGTGTTTGTTATTTGATTATTTCTGCTTGTGGATCTTAGATAAATGAGGCGTGGGCGAAGTGTGTGTAGAACTCCTTGTTAATAAGAGTGAAATTGAAGCTTGTAATAAGGACTCAATGCAGAGTGAAGTTAAGAATTCCACAATGCAGAGTGAAATTTAAAATGTAATAAAATGATAGGTCTGAGAAAGTTAAATGTAATAAAATGATAGTGAAATTTAAGAACTCCCCAACACAGAGTGAAATTTAAAATGTAATAAAATGATAGGCCTGAGAAAGTTAAATGTAATAAAATGATAAGAACGTCTTTGGAATTTGACTAAGCAAAGAGTGGTGTGAAGACTTGGACCTAGAATTGTGACTAAGTGTGTTAGTTAATTCCACAAGTATGAAGTTTCGCATGGGTGGTATTGACCGAGCCCTACATGATAGGTCTGGACGAGTGCTTCACGCTCAGTCTGGATGGAGCTTTTAGCGCTCGGTCCGGCAGAGGGTGTTAACGATCGGACTGCCCGAGGCGGCTCATGCTCAGTCTGGATGAGGCTTTAAGTGCTCAGTCTGGCTGAGGCTTTAAGTGCTCAGTCTGGTTGAGGCTTTAAGTGCTCTGTCTAGTTGAGGCTTTAAGTGCTCAGTCTAGCTGAGGCTTTAAGTGCTCAGGCTGGCTGAGGCTTTTAGTGCTCAGTCTGGCTGAGGCTTTAAGTGCTCAGTCTGACTGAGGCTTTAAGTGCTCTGTCTGGCAGAGGCTTTTAGTGCTCAGTCTGGCTGAGGCTTTTAGTTCTCAGTCTGGCTGAGGCTTTAAGTGCTGCAAATAAGAATGTTACTGAGACAACATATAGATAACTGAGATATATAATCAAGAAGTTACATTGTGTGGGGGAATATCAAGAATGTGTGAATTTCCCAAAAAGAAAATACAATAACTGAGCAATACAAAAATAGGAGCTTATTGAAAGTAACGTTTAAGGTGTTCGGCGTTCCATGGGTGGGGGAGGTCTCGACCTTCCATGTCCTGAAGTCGGTAAATGCCTGGTCGGGGTCGGGCTTTCACAATGTAAGGTCCCTCCCACTTGGCTGCCAATTTACCCTCAGTCGGATTTTTGGTAACAAGAGTTGCTTCTCTCAAGACAAGATCCCCTACAGCGAACTCCCTCGGTCGGACCTTGCGGTTGTAGTGTGTTCTCATTTTCTGTTGGTATGAGGCCAGTCGGATAGTGGTGGTCTCTCTGAGTTCTTCAATTAGGTCGAGGTCAGCCCGACAGAGTTCTTCGGTTAGTGCTGGATCCGGCATGTGAAACCCTGGGAGTAGGCAAACCGACTTCTATTGGGATAACCGCCTCAGCGCCGTATGTTAAGTGGAAAGGGGTTTCCCCAGTGGGAGTCTGAGCCGTAGTTCGATAAGCCCAGAGTACATTCGGTAGCTCCTCAGCCCAAAGTCCCTTAGCAGCTTCTAGCTTAGTTTTGATGATCTTCAGAAGAGAGCGGTTGGTGACCTCAACTTGTCCATTGGCCTGGGGATGGCCAGGGGATGAGAAACAAGGTTGAATCTGGAGGTCGGCACAGAACTTCCAGTACTTGGCGTTGTCAAATTATTTACCGTTGTCGGAGATAATGGCCTGAGGAATGCCAAACCTGCAAACGATCGACTGCCAAATGAACTTGGTTGTGTTCCGCTCGATGATGGTGGCAAGGGGTTCTGCCTCTACCCACTTGGTGAAGTAATCAATGGCGACGATCGCGAACTTGGTCTGGCCTCGGCCAGTAGGGAGTGGACTGACCAAGTCGATCTCCCATTTGGCGAACGGATAAGGGCTGTAAAGTGTGATCAACTCTGTAGGGGGTGCATGGGGGATGTTGGCAAAACGTTGACACTTATCACATTTGAGCACAAAATAGGTCGCATCGCAATTAAGAGTGGGCCAGAAATAACCAGTACGGAGTATATTGTGGGCTAGAGACTTGCCACCCGAGTGATTGCCGCAGATTCCCTCATGAATTTCTTACATCACATAAGTTGCTTGAGTCGGATTGAGGCACCGCAGATAGGGGCGTGAGAAACCACGCTTGTACAAGATGCCATCGACAAGGATGTAATTGGACGATCGTGCCCTGACTTTGGCGGCTTGCTGGTGGTCATCTGGAAGTTCCCCCGCTGTCAGAAATCGAAAGATGTCCGACGCCTAAGGGATGGGCTCATTTTAGAGGTATTGTACTTCATGCTGGTCGGGGGAAATGGCGGGGTGGGATAGGTATTCAAGGCGGACACCACTGCTGAGGGCGGACTGGTCTGCAGAAGCCAGCTGGGCCATCTCATCTGCCTTAGAGTTCTCCGCCCGAGGAATGTGCTTGATGTGGAAGGTGTTGAAGAGGCGAACTAGGGGAAGTGCAAGATCCCTGTAAGTCCGCATTGTGCCCTCCTTGGCGTCGAATTCGGCCGTGATCTGTCCGACTATGAGCTGAGAGTCGCTGAGCACTCGGATGTGGCTGACACCAATGTCCCTGGCTAGGCGAAGGTCTGCTATCAGCGCCTCATATTCGACCTCGTTGTTACTGGCCTCAAACAAGAAACGGAGCGCACATTTGAAATAACCACCTTCAGGGCTGGTGAGAATGAGGCCAGCCCCACTACCTTGCCTGCGGGATGATCCGTCGACGTTGAGAGTCCAAGAGTGAGGGTCTTCTGGCTCGGTGTGAGCTAGAAGGGGGTGCAGAGGCAGTGGTTGGGGTAGGGTTAGTGAATTCCAAGATGAAGTCGGCGATAGCCTGTCCCTTAATTGCTGTTCGAGGCCGGTAAGAGATGTCAAACTGGCTGAGTTCCATAGACCACTACATAAGTCTGCCGAAAAGTTCTGGTTGCTGCATGACCTTCTTCAAGGGTTGGTCGGTGAGGACCACTATGGAATGGGCTTGGAAGTAAGGACGAAGTCGTCTGGAGGCGGTGACCAAGGCCAAGGATAATTTTTCTAACAGGGGGTAATTCTGCTCAGCTCCCCTGAGAGCCCGACTGATGTAGTACACCGGTTGTTAGACAGAGTCGTCTTCCCTGATAAGAGCTGCACTGACAGCGGTGCTTGAGACGGCTAAATAGAGGAAGAGGGACTCGCCCGTAATCGCTTGTGAAAGGAGGGGTGGATTGGCCATGCACTGCTTTAACTGCTGAAAAGCCTCTTCAGATTCAGTTGTCCATTCAAAAGTCTGCCGAAGAACTTTGAAGAACGGTAGGCACTTATCTGTTGCGTGGGAAATGAAACGGTTGAGGGCAGCAACTCGGCCAGTGAGCCTTTGAACCTCCTCGACCGTCCTGGGTGATTGCATCTCGACCAAGGCCTTGATCTTTTCAGGGTTAGCTTCAATGCCCCGCTGACTGACCATAAAACCCAGGAACTTCCCGGATCCTACGCCGAAGGCACACTTCTCTGGGTTGAGCTTCATTCGGTATTTGCGTAGGGTAGCGAAGGTCTCCCGCAGGTCGGTCAGATGGTCAGTGGAGAGTTTGCTCTTGACTAGCATGTCGTCAACGTATACTTCCATATTCCGACCTATTTGGTGATGGAAGACGGCATTGACCAAACGTTGGTAGGTGGCCCCAGCGTTCTTCAATCCGAATGGCATTACTCGGTAATGGTTGGTACCTCGGTCGGTGATGAAGGATGTATGTTCCCGATCGGACGGGTGTATCAGGATTTGGTTGTAGCCAGAGAAAGCATCCATGAAGCTGAGCATTTGATGACCGGCCGTGGCGTCGACCAACAGATCTATGCGGGGCAGAGGATAGCTGTCTTTGGGGCAAGCTCGGTTCAGGTCAGAGTAGTCGACACAGAGTCGCCATTTGCCATTGTTCTTGCAGACGAGGACCACGTTTGACAACCATTTAGAGTAGTCGACATTTTTGATGAATTGGGCCTCAAGGAGTTTGTCGACGTCTGCGGCTATAAGGGTATTGCGCTCCGGATGAAAGATGTGCTGTTTCTGGTGGTAAGGTCAGAAATGAGGTTCAATGCTGAGGCGATAAGTTATGAAAGAAGGGTCGATGCCTGGCATATCTGAATGAGTCCAGGCGAATACATCATTGTGCTCGGTCAGAAGGGCAGTAAGGTCGGCCTTAGCTTGGGGGGATAGCTGGCTGCCGATCTTAGCAGTTTTCATTGGGTTGGTGGGATCAATGGGAATCTCAACGAGCTCCTCCACCGGTTCGCCTCTGACCAGCTCGTCCTCATCTCGGGCGTCAAGTCCTTCAATGATCATGGCCTCCTTCAGCTTGACTTCCTTGAGTGAGGCGACATAACATTCCCTAGCGATGGTCTGCTCTCCCCGTACTATCCCGACCCCCTGGTCGGTGGGAAACTTTATAGCGAGGTGGTAGGTTGAAGTGATAACTTGGAAAGCGTTGAGGGCAGTGCGACCGAGGATGATGTTGTAGGCAGAGGGACAGTCGACCACAAGGAAGGTGAGTAACTTGGTAGTTTGCCGTGGGTATTCGCCAATAGTGATGGGGAGGTCGATGGAGCCGATGGAGGTCACCCAGTCGCCAGTGAAACCGACCAAGGGGGTTTGGAGGGGGGACAGGCTTTCCTCCCCAATTTTGAGCTGGCGGAAGCAACTGAGGAATATGATGTCTGACTAACTGCCGTTGTCGATGAGAACCCGTCTGACCTTATAGTTGGAGAGAAGGGCAGAAATGACGAGGGAGTCATCATGAGGATAACGGATGCCTATACAATCGGCGTCCATGAAGGTGATGGTCTCTGTCCACTACTTGGGTTGCTTGGAAGGTCGGTCTACCGTGTCCACTGCTTTGTCCGAGCCTTGCCTTATTTTCCTGAGCTCTACCTTCTGAGCGGAGCGGGATGGTCCGCCACAAGCAAGGCCACCAGAAATGACTCGGATTTCACCAACTGGCGGAGGGGGATTACCTGGGGGCCGGGGTTGTTGTGGGAGGCGGTCATGGCCTTGGTCAGGTTGGGCTGGCTACCGAGGTGGGGTACGTCGGTGTAGACACCCCATTTTTGACCGTCCTCAAGACTTGGACGTCACCGCTTGAACACTCGGTGATCATCCATATTTGTGTTCGTC